AAGCCTTTATAAGAGAACATTGTGATCAACTGTGTCAAAAGTAGAAATGAAATCTAAAAAGATTAGAAACAGACACAATATTCTTATCTGAAGCCATGAGAATGTCATTTGTAACTTTCATTTATGCGGTTTCACTGCTTATTAGATTGGCCCAGTCAAAGTCCAGACATAAATCCCATTCATCATCTGAAGAAAGACTTGAAAATTGCTGTTCAGAACCTTTCTATCCATTCTGGGTGAGCTTGAGCTATTTTGCAGTGAAGAATGGGCTAAACCGTCAGTCCCTAGATTAGTGTTTCCCAATTTCGGTCCTCAGGACACCCTGTCATGTTTTCCATGTCTCTGCCACAGCACACCTGATTTATATATTTGTATTGCCTCCTCGGGAGGGTAAGTGCTGCAGATGCCTGCTAGTCACTCATTAATTAAGGCCAGGTGTGTAACAGCAGGAAACACTGCCCTAGATGTGCAGAGACGACCCCAAAAGTTTTGCAGCTGTAAGTCTAGCAAATTTTGGTTTTACAAAGTATTGATGTAGGGAGAATGAGTGCAAATGTACACCATACGTTTAGATTTTTGTTTGCTTACTTTTTTTTTCAAATCACAAATCAGTTTCATTCTTCTTCACAGTTATGTGGTACTTTGTGTCAGCCTGGCAAGTAATCCTAAATATGTAAATGTATGGTGTAATGACGACCCACCAGATCTCAGTTGTGGGGCGGAATCTACGATTGTTTTTCAAACTGTCTCTGCATGCTATTGGACAACAAATGACGTGATGTATTTACCACTAAAGATGTCAATCAGCGGGGTAGTCCGCGATAAACTGTTGAAGAAGAAGCAAATTCAACACTCTTCTAAATAAGGGACTTCAGTACCTCTATCTGTTCTTGACTCAAAGAAAAACCCAATTCTAAATAGTCCGAAGATGTCAAAGCTGTTTCAAATGATTCATCGCCATCACCAGCTCAGTGGCCTAGTGGTAGAGTGTCCGCCCTGAGACTGGGAGATCAGGGTTCAATTCCTGGTCGGGTCATACCAAAGACCTTGAAAAATTGGGACCCAAGGCCTCCCTGCTCGACACTCAGCATTAAGGGGTTGATTGGGGGGTGAAACCACCAAATGGTTCCCGAGCGCGGCTGTGCCTGAAGCTCACCGCTCCCCTAGGGGATGGGTCAATTGCGGAGAACAAATTTCGCACACACATCAGTGTGTGTGACAACTAATGGGACTTTAACTTTTAACTTTAACTTTTGTTGTGCTCCATTGCATCATCCCGCCCACCAAACTGATACAGCTCTGTGATTGGCCCACCAACCAATAGAGCACTGTGATTGGTCTAACACGAGGCTGCTCAGGCCAATATTGGACCTGTTGAGGCTCCTAAGGAACGTGGCTTCACTAACCTGCTAAGCTAAATAGTCGTTGCTACTAACATGGTGTGTCTAGATTTCTAGGCCAATTTTGCACGTGTCTATCGCAGATAATCTCAGTAGAGCACATTTACATTTGTGGACATATGGTGTCAAAAGATGTATAAGTTCGTGGGGTATGAATACTTTTTTAAGGCACTGTATAACTGCAGAATCTCCAACTGCTTGTGTTCATCAAAGGGGTATATGAACCTTTTAGGAGAGACTTTGATAATGGAGAGATGAAAAGTCTCCATTTAATTGTAAACACTATTACCCTGATGCTAGTAACAAGAAATAGAAACACATTTAGTGGACATATTTCTAAATTACTCAGATGAATATGAATTTAGTCTGTAACCCAACGTCTCTTTGATTTTTACTTGCACGCCTGCCCTTTTCTACAATTATTAATAAAACTGTTTCTATTTTTTTCCATCTTTGTGAGTTTCTAGTACATCCCTTTTTGCTTTCACCCATTGACAGTATCATAGCTATTCAGAAATACTTCTAGCAGATGTTTTTACTTCTTAATTTGTATCCAATTTAGTGACAAAACACAAAATAGGACACCCAGTCGTCATCAGCTTTGATTAGTTTGACACGTGGGACACTTGTGAAAACAGCCACTGTCTTTCTGATCTCCCTGTGTTTAGTCTGTTTAAACCCATCTCCTGATAATAGTGTTAGATTCTCACCTAAAAGAAAAAGTGTCATAGGGCACCTTTCCTTCCTCTTGTGTCACACGGGAACACATTAGGATCAGGAACACCAACATGGCCGGAGGCATCACAACATGCTGCATGTAATAATCTCTGTGCTTCATACTTAATGATGCTGTGTTTTGTAGCCTGCAGGGTTTCTCTTGGTAATGATTTGTGAAACACCCCACTGACTCAGGTATTACTCCCCTGAATTCTGTTTCACTGCATGGGTGTTTATTGTGTAAAGTAAGAAAAAAACATAAAAACTGGTAAATAAAATCAAATGAACACAATTTGTTTCTAAGATCCCAAGTAATCCTAATTGCTCTCTCTAAAAATATATCCAATATCCTTTGGATAGTTGAGGTTTTTTTTTTGTCTTTGTCTAGATTTATTTTTTAATACGATGCATTATTTCTTGTTGTTTCTTAGTTTTGGGGGAATTTGTCTTGCGTGTGCTCATTTAACACAGTAACAGGCCAAGACAGCAGAAGCTTCATTACAACGAAGACAAATGAAATTTGCTCCCAGAAAACTCTTTGTAAACTCGCTCAATGGTGCAACAATTAAAGATGAACTTTAAATTTTAAATTGTTCCCGGCACAAGTTCACAAAAACCTCCAAGATTTCTTCCCCATTTCCGTTTGTAATTTAGGGACAATTACTTTATTTCGAAAGAATTTGGTTCGGTTGCAGAGCAGCAAATCTGATTACCGTGTGTTTTTCTAAACAAAACGGGACTTCCTCACTACCTTCCCCTGACTTTCATGGCTGTTGTTACGGATCAGCGTCAGAAGATTCTATGTGACGATTCTAGATGACAAGCAAAGACAAGTTTTACAATACATAGTCATATCTGATGTTTGCACTCTTGGGTGTTTTATAGTAAGGAGCACTTACTACACTTATTACGGTTGTATGCTTCTAACATTAAAGGGAGTGCAGTTGTTTGCCCTATTGCTGTTAGCTCGCTGTTATCTTAACGACTCATTAAAGGAAGTAAAACGCCACGATTGACACATAATTCACTTCACACATACATTTATGGGGGCAACGGTGGCACAGGAGTTAAGTGCTCGCCCCATAATCGGAAGGTTGCAGGTTCGAGCCCCGCTCAGTCTGTCGCTGTCGTTGTGTCCTTGGGCAAGACACTTAACCCACGTTGCCTGCTGGTGGTGGTCGGAGGGACCGGTGGCGCCAGTGCTCGGCAGCCTTGCCTCTGTCAGTGCGCCCCAGGGCAGCTGTGGCTACATCGTAGCTCATCCCCACCAGTGTGTGAATGTGTGTGTTAATGGATGAATGACTGATTGTGTTGTAAAGTGCCTTGGGGGGTTCCAGGACTCTAGAAGGCGCTATATCAAATACAGGCCATTTACCATGTAACTGTAATATTGAGCTGTTGGTAATAGAAAAAAAGTAGCTTGAGATATTTTTAGAGCCAACTATTTGTTTCTAATTCACAGTTAGCTCAGTGTTAGCCTCTAGCCTTTGGAGCAAAACAAAGAGATGTCGTGACTTCTTAAGGGCTGCAAGAAATAACTTCTGGGTCATTCCTGTTTACTGGCTTTGGTTCTTTAAAGTACAGTGTGTATTTTCCCTGGCAATACGAGGCAGTACATACTTAAATCATTCCAAGAAAGCAGTATTTTTGTGTTCGAGTGAGAACTTACCAATGGAAGGCCATTAGGGTCAAAAATCTCTGGGAGCGCAATTTTCAGACGAGTACTTTGTCAGATTGTTCAACCTCTGGCAAAAATGACAAGCACATCAGAGCGAAGAGGTAAATGTGTGAAACATTCATGAATATTTTGTAACCGCTTGTTACAAATCAGTAAATGTGTTTTGTCTTCACAGGCTCCTGTAGAGGGACACATCATCTCTAGTATGACGTTGCACAGAGACTTAGTATATTTTATACCAAATTTTTGTGGTTATATGTTATGACGCCACCGATATTTTTCAACAACTGGGCATTTTCGACAACAACTCATTCCAGAGAATAATGGTAAAAACTACACATTGCCTCTTTTGCAGTGCATATATGCCCTTTATGACTGATGTCAAGTTGTTGTTGTTATTGTTGTTAGCCTCAAGGGCAACATGCCGATTATCACTTGTAAGTCGCTTTGAACAAAAGTGTCTGCTAAATACACAAACATAAACATTTATTTCCCCTAAGTACTTTAAAATATTTAAAAAGATTAGTTTTGTGGTGGATTTCATAAAAAGAGACTTTTGTTTTGAAATTGTCAAATCAGGTAACAAAAAATGTGTAAGCTGGTAGACCTGCTTTGCTCCTTGTGTTAGCATTATTCCATCACAGTGATTCCAATCTCATTTGCATGAAGATGAACAGGAATATCTACAAAAACCAGCCTTTTTTTCCAGTTTGCAGTCTTTGTATGACTGTGAGTCATGATGCATAAAGTCAGTGTGGAAACACTGAAACACAGGCCATGTGTGTGTTTCAAATGCATTAAGTGTGTGTAATGTTGTTTGGCAGCCCCAGGTGACACTTTTCTGCTGTGTGCCTCATTATATCGATGCAGGATGAATAAATCAGGTGAAACACTGAGACATGACAGCGCTCACGTCTTTCGCCATTAAAGTCAAATGTCCATTTAAGTATTCTGTTTTTGTTATTACAGGCTGTGGAACTGGATTTTTTCCCATCGACTCAAAGCATCAGGGGAATGAAGTCACTTTGACAGCTGCAACAGGAGCTTGGAGCTGTGTTTTTGAAGGATGGCACCGATTACATGATGCTAGAAACAGATCTGTGCTGGTGTTGTCACACTTTGATGCATGAAGGATTTCCATTGGTTTAGCCTCTTTTTAGATGCTGTTGAACTGCTGCAAACACACACGCTGAGTCCTAGGATGAGAAAGATTTGGATGAGATTGGCTGAGGCTGTTCCAACATGGAGAAGAGCCAGATTTCTCCTTTTGAGTGTTTTGTGGATTGGGTTTTTTCCAAACAATTCCCACCAGGACCAGAATCCACAATGTCAAATAATCTCCAGTGCGCTGCCTCTGCCTGTGCTGCAAAGAAACGGGGACATCATCTTAGGGGGTCTCTTCTCGCTTCACGACGCCGTGTCGGTGCACAATCCGTCGTTCACCTCTCAGCCTCCTCCTGCAAAGTGCACCAGGTAATCTTTAAGTTTTAACATTGTCTTGATTAATGCAGCTGTGGACTGGTTTGAAAAAAACCATAGTTGCCCTAAACTTTGCAGATTTAATTTCCGGACTTTCCGTTGGATGCAAACGATGATCTTTGCCATTGAAGAGATTAACAGACACGGTGAACTTCTTCCAAATGTCACAGTTGGCTATAAGATCTTTGATTCGTGCAGCACACCGCATCAAGCTTTAAAAGCTGCAGTGGAGTTAATGGGACGAGTGAACAATTCGGTGGCTGAAAAAAACAGTAATGGCACTTGTTACGGGAGTATACCCGTGGTGATAGGAGATGGAGGATCCACTCAGTCTCTCGTGGTGGCTCGTTTCCTGGGAGTCTTCCACGTTCCTCAGGTAAACTGACCACAACTATGACTGGTTCTAGTCTGCTGTAGAACTATAAACAGTGACTTTAATTATTTCTGATTCATACATTAGATTACATTGTGGGAAATCTTTTTTACAGGTCAGCTACTTCTCCAGCTGTGCCTGTTTGAGTGACAAAAAGCAGTTTCCTGCATTTTTAAGGACGATGCCAAGTGACTCATTCCAGGTTAATGGCTGCTGATTCTTTTTTTATCTCATTAACCCTTTGATGCATAATGGTCACTCCAGTGGACAGGTACTTCAAATTGTTATTTATTTATTTTTGCTATTAAGCACAGCTGTTGAAGACTTTATTGCATTTGAACTCCTCCATTTGTACTTCAGTAAGTCAAGCCAACATATTTCATGTTCAGATTGCACACTGTCCACTGAGGTGGACATGTAATAAATTATTTGTAAATTAAATTTTACAAAAAATATGTAAATATGAAATTTTTTTCATTCACACCTAAAGATGAATGAAAAAAATTGTTAAAATAAATCATGGTTGAAGATTTCATAATTCATGTATCAAAGGGTTAAAACCAATAGAAAACCTTTTTCTATGTGCCACTCGTTTGTACATCTCTGTCCAGGTAGATGCCCTGATACACCTTGTGAAACATTTTGGCTGGACCTGGGTGGGTGTGATTGCAGGTGACGATGCTTACGGTCGTGATGGGGCAAACATCTTCGTAAACAAGGTGGGTACACGTCTGTAAAATGTCATTAGTCTCACAATAAAAAGTTGGATTACAACAGAGCTTCTCTTTTGCTCTCTTAGGTTCAGCGGTTAGGGGTTTGTGTTTCCATACATGAGATCATTCCCAAGAACCGAGCTCAAACGGATATTTTATCCATCATCTCTAAAATCCGTTCGTCTGGGGCTCATGTGATCCTGGTGTTTGCTGTGGAACAGGATGCAGTGGCTTTGTTTGATGAAGCATTACGGTATGAAAACACTGGTTGGATTATTAGACAGCGTGTAAATACACTCAGAAGAGAAAATTTTAGATTTTTGTGTCTTTCCCAGTTTCAAGATTAAAACTGAAATGTTGAGCATGAAACAAACTATTTTGTTTGTTTCTCAGCAGTTTGAATTTAAAGGTTGAATATGAAACACGAACGAGGACGGCTGTTGTTGTTTTAGCGTCCAGGAAATGGCAGAGAATGTCTTGAGTGGTAGAAGCTAATCGTTAGCATTAGCAATTCCATCACATGGCATGAGATGAGATGTCCAAGTATTAGGGATGCACCGATCAGTTTTTTTGCTGTCGATCACCGATACCGATATCAAAGAATGCTGATCGCCGATACCGATCACCGATACCGATCACCGTTACCGATCACCGATACCGATCACGTGGATTGGCCAGAAACTGTCTACAACATTATAATGAGTGCTACAAACTACATAATCTGGGAATAAAGGAAATGTAATCTAATCTAAAATGGTCTGTATTAGGGTTGTCACGGTGTGAAAATGTAACCTCACGGTTATTGTGACCAAAATTACCACGGTTTTCGGTATTATTTCGGTATTTTTTTTAAACGTGCTACATTTTCACACAATTAAATAAACCCTGTATGTCAGGAAATATTGTCCTCAGTTTGTGTCTAAATTTTGCCTAAAATTTGTTATTTTGTAATTATGTTGTTTATTTGTTTACATTTTTCCCCTTTAGTCTTTAAAATACCAACATTTGCCCATAACTTCTTATTTTATGTCTGTTTGGTGTCATCATTTAAAAATATTAGATCAGATGATACTCAGTACTCAAGTAGACTTCTAATCAGATACTTTTTTACCCTTACTTGAGTAATAAACCCTATATCAGGAAATTATTGTCCTCAGTTTGTGTCCTTCCAGTGAGCTTTGCAGATTTGGGAAAATGTCATCAGGCAGTAATCATTGTTAAATTCATAATTATTCTCGGAGAGAGACCAACTCTTATCTGCCCCTGGGAGCCCCGTAATGCATAGCGTCATTTCAACATGGCGGTGTCCGCGACACGGTTTATATGCAGGTAGCGGCGCTGCGGCTGCTTTATATAGCAACTCGTTGCTTTCTCCCTCAACCCAAATCCTCGGATCACGCATTTTAGCTAAAACGCTAATGTTAGCTTGCCTTGCGTTGACTGTAGAGTTGTGGGTGATGGTCATGCAGATGTGTCATGAGATTTGAAGCGTTGCTGCCTTTCACAGACACTTTTTCTGCACGTGCTGCAAACAGGATAGCCGTCCGTCTTCCATAAACTCCCTCGGCATTCTTCAAATATCTAAAATATACCCATACTTCCGACTTTTTCTTCTTTGAGGGATAATGAATGTCCTGAGCGCTGTCGTCTCCTCCTTTGACCATTATTTCAGCTTTAGCTTCAAGAAAGTTTTGGTCGTAAACAACAAAGCGCGCATGTGCTGCCGTTAACTTCAGCCGATGATACGGTGGCTGGTAAGGGTCACCGCGCCTACACCGCAGCCACGGTAATCCACCGAGATAATATAGTTTTTTTTTAAACAAGACGGTTATTATTATTGTCAACTTTTTTTTTTACCGGGATTTACCGCTACACTGGTTACTGTGACAACCCTACCTGATCGTCTGCTTTGATCTGCTTTGAAAATTCCGATCAAAACCGATAGGGGCGCTATCGGCCGATTCCGATCAAATGCCGATCCATCGGTGCATCCTTACCAAGTATCAGGCAAAAAGAGGTCAAATCCTGCCGACAGAAGCTCTCCTCTGATGTGGCAACTTTCTAGATTCTGCATCAGGTGCACCTGAGCTGTTTATCCCCCAGAGTACGACTTGCAATGCATTCATTCCCACCACAGATCACTGCAAACGTATTGATTAAACAAGTCCTCCACACCTTTTCATTCAGTTTCTATGAGTTTGAAGCTATTATTTGAAGCAAACTGAGTTTCTGTTTCTTAGGACTGGGCTGACTGGGATACAGTGGCTGGCCAGTGAAGCCTGGAGTACAGCTGCTGTGCTTTCCAGTCCTACAAAATACCACCACCTCCTCCAGGGTACAGTTGGTTTTGCCATTCGGCAAGCACACATCCCTGGACTGCGAGACTTTCTTCTGCGCTTGAGTCCCTCGGGGCCAGCAGCCCGTGAAGATCCCTTCCTTGCTCTCTTTTGGGAAGAGGTGTTTCAGTGCAGCCTGAGTGGGCAGGCCAAAGGTCAAGAGCTGTATTCTGAGGGCAAACCTCCATGCACAGGAACAGAAGACCTTAGGAGCGTAACAAATATCTATTCAGATGTGTCACAGCTGAGAATTTCCTACAATGTCTATAAAGCCGTGTATGCCGTCGTCAACGCACTGAAGGATATGAAAAGTTGTGTGAAAGGAAAAGGCGTGTTTCCTCTGTGGACCTGTCCAGATGTAGAAGGTGTTCAGCCATGGCAGGTACCATTACATACAGATGTTCACCACATCTGGTTAACAGTCACCATCGTCTGATCACACTCGCTCTCTACCTTCAGCTGCTTCACTACATCAGACAAGTGAGGTACTTGAATTCGTTTGCAGATGAAATAAAGTTTGATGAGAATGGCGACCCGGCAGCTGTGTATGATTTGGTCAACTGGCAGCTCAACGCAAACAGGCAAATTGGGTTCATCACTGTAGGTAAATATGATGGGATGATCCCAACTAATGCCCAGAAACTTCTGATCCAGAAGGAAAACATTCTGTGGAATGGCAACCAATCTCAGGTAGTGGAAATCTCCATAGAAATTTAATACATTTATTTTTTGTAGTCTTTTGCATTAACAACCTCTTGTTTTGTGTTTCTAGGTTCCTTTGTCAGTGTGTAGCTCCGGTTGTCCTCCGGGCAACTGGAAGGCAGTGAGGCCAAACTCTCCTGTCTGCTGCTATGACTGTGTGGCATGTGCAGCCGGGGAAGTTAGCAATCAAACTGGTGAGAGGACACATTGTGTTTAGGAATGTGACCTTTTGAGATAAAGTGGAATGAAAAGAGCCTCAGGGAATGAGCTAAATACTTTTTTTTTTCCTTTAGATGCCATTAGTTGTGACCAATGTCCACCAGAATTCTGGTCCAACCCAGAAAAGACCACCTGCGTACTGAAAGAGGTGGAGTTCCTCTCTTTCAGCGACACCACGGGCATCATCTTGGCAGCTATTTCCCTTCTTGGCGCTCTTTGCACCTGCGCTGTGCTCTTTATATTTTTCTGTCACAGAACCTCAGCAGTTGTCAGAGCCAACAACTCTGAGCTGAGCTTCCTGCTGCTCTTCTCCTTGACTCTCTGCTTCCTGTGTTCTCTGACCTTCATTGTCCAACCGTCTAAGTGGTCCTGCATGCTGCGCCACACAGCTTTCGGGATCAGTTTTGTTCTCTGCATCTCCTGCATTCTGGGGAAAACAATAGTGGTGCTAGTGGCCTTCAAGGCAAAAATTCCAGGCAGCAATATTATGAAATGCTTTGGACCTGCACAGCAGAAGACAATCATTAGCATCTGTACACTAGCCCAGGTAGGAAGCTACGCTTTGGATCATTTGGAAGGTTTTATCTAAAGCAGGGGTGTCAAATATGCGGCCCGCGGGCCGGATCCGGCCCGCAAGCGGGTTAAATCCGGCCCGCGAGATGGTTGTGTAAACTTTATTTTCATACTTTACAATGTAGAGTGAAAATAAACGTATCATTGTGAGCAAGTTTTCTCTGTAATGAGTATAAATAAAACAAAGCTGCGCTCAAGGCTCACACAAGAACTTGAATCACATCCTGAAGTTGGCCGCCACTCAGGATGTGACTTCTGATATTGATGTGCTGGTGAAGCTAAAAGATGTAAAGTAAAATGAGTCAAATACACTTTAAGTGCTGCATGAAACTGATCTAGCCATGTGATCTGTAAGCTCTTTGAATCACTAAGGAATGTTTTTTTTATTGATTGATTTTTTTATTTATTTTTTTTTTTTTCAAGTACACTTCAGGTGTTGTACTTGTACTACACTGTCCTCAGGCTCCAGCCTTGTTTTATATCGATTGTATTTAAACAAAGAAAACAATCAGATTTTTTTTATTTTATTTACCGGTCCGGCCCACTTGGGACTAGATTTCCCTCAGTGTGGCCCCTGAGCTAAAATGAGTTTGACACCCCTGATCTAAAGGATCAATTAAGACTTCTTTTTTTTTCCTCCAGGTAATAATTTGCACAGTTTGGCTGACTGTTTCACCCCCTGCTCCACGCCACCTGATGCCACGTGAGAAACCTTTCATTATTCTCCTGTGCGACGAAGGTTCGAGCATCGGTTTCGCTTTGGTCATGAGCTACATCGGCTTTCTGGCTTGCCTCTGTCTTCTTCTGGCCTTCTTGGCGAGGAAGCTTCCGGACAGCTTCAATGAGGCCAGACTTATCGCTTTCAGTATGCTTATTTTTTGCGCCGTGTGGGTGGCATTCATCCCCGCCTACATCAGCTCTCCAGGAAAGTATGCCACAGTCACAGAAGTGTTTGCAATCCTGGCCTCCAGTTATGGCTTACTGGGTTGCATATTTGCTCCAAAGTGTTATATAATCCTACTCAGGCCAGAAAAGAACACCAAGACGCATTTAATGTCCAAAACTCCTTCACAGACTTTTTAAAATAAATATAAATCTCGTTTCATCTCACATAGGTGTTCTTCTATGTAAAAGTGGACTTGTCATAGAGGCATTTCACCACCAGATGGCAGTAGTGCGTTAAAATACTATCATTTGGTTATCCACCAGGAAACACACATTTGTGCTGTTACACACGCCTTTATTATTGTAAATAACTTCCCACAGAATGTTCATAATTACACACTTAACCATGTTTTTCCATTGAAAATCAAAAAGAAGCCAGTGTCATGCAGTTGTTGGTATGGAAGCTCATTTGAAAATATGAGGGCAAACGTGATAGATCTCTCTGTCAGATTTGACTGGGGTTTGGCAGCAGTGTCCGTGCTTATTGGACTTCCAGGTGGAATGATGAGACCCGGGATTTCTGAGGAATGATCCCAGAAATCCCGGCTGTCATTGGTTAATTGAATCCTCGTTCTCCGGGGGGACTTTATGTAAACATCACGCCTTGTTGTTCCCTGTAATAACAAATTGTCTGACATTTTCCTGGCTCTCCCAGCGATCATTGATTATTGAGCTTTGATTAATATGTTTATCCTTCCAATGAAAAGAAGAACACCGTGGAACGTGGAAAGACCGTGCATCATTAATGTCCATCAGAAATAATCAGGAACCAGAATTATTTGGTGGACTTAAGTGATTTAGTTGATTCACAGTGTTGATTCAGTGCTACGTGGCCTTTTGTAATCGAGTGAAAAAAGACTATTAAAGAATAAATTGATTTTTGTGTTTGTTTGTTTTGTTTTCAGTACACTGCCGAGCTGATTAGTAACCTTTAACAAAAAAGCAATAATTGCTTGTTTTAATCAAGGAAAGTAAAATAGATCAATTCAATTTGATGGTTAAATAATTCATTAGGTTTGAATGAGAACACACTTCTCAGTGATTTCTTCAGTTGACTGAAAATAAAACATAAAAATTACCAGCAGGGCAGACTTGAAGTGTCATGTCTGTGGGAAGATCTATGGGAAAGGTAATAAATGTCATGCAGGGCATCAAATTAGAGCATGTTTTGTTCTTTTGTATACAATGTGCTCCTCTGAAAAACATTATGGGAAAAATTCATGAAATGTATTTGCTAAATGACCAGACTCTGCTTATTTATCGGTGATACTAAATCATACATTTTATTTTGTAAATATTTATTAATTTAACCCTCTGACTGTCTTTATGGGTGACCCCGCGAGGAAAGTTGACCATGGTTTATCCCTTGAGGTCCATGTCAACCCTGTTCAATGGTCAACTTTCCTCACGGGGTCAGCCCCCTTAGTACAGCGGAAGGGTTAAAAAAGATAGACTAAGATCGGATGAGGATAAGGGCCGCAAAAATGCTCGGCGTGTTCTTGAAGTCCATTATCAAAGGTCAGCTTCACTGAAAAATGTATTTATTTTTTTCTGATTTTAATGGATCACTGAGTTTTTTGTGCTGGCTGAACATGAAAATAGTCTCCTACACGTATCCACTGCATTAGCTTCTGACAGAAAATAGATGGTGAAACTCTAGGATTAGAAAGTCCTGAAAGAGCTACGTCACAATGTCACTTAAAATTCATGGACTCACCCATCGTGACTTGCAACAAGGAAGGCTGTTATTGGTTTAATGTCCAGGAAACGGCAGATAACATCTCAGCTAATAGAAGCTAACTGTTAGCATTAGCAACTCCACCACACAGCAGAACTCCTTCAGAGTCAGTGGTAGTGTAGTGTTGCTGTTAGCCAATCAGAGGCGAGATGTACAAATGTCATGAGTCCAGATCACGTCGCCTCCAGCTGACATCGACGTCCTCCAGCGAGCACCGTGCACATAGCCTTTTTAGAACAACTTACATGGCATTCATTCCCACTAGAGGCCACTGCAAATAAATTACAAATATGACCTTTAATATCTGTGTTGGGCCTTCTTTGTTAAGATTTGAAGGATTTTACTTAAGAAACAGCAATGAGGATATCAATTTGCTTTAGCAACTTTGGAAAACACGTTAGCCTGAAATCTTGTTTCCATGCTTCTTAACAACCTTTTGACATAGTGTGGCTATAAACAATCATTACACACTCACATATTTAGCAAGAGAGCACCATTGATGAAAAGTTCTCCACTCAATAATATCAGAGAAGGAGAAACAGCCGGCTGCAACCACTTCAACTTTAGGAAAAACTACCAGAGCCCCAAAAAGAAAAACAACATTTGAAGTCACGGAAAACAAAAGATGTTTGGACCTAGAAAACAGTGAAAATTTCCTCTGGATACACGGGTTTCCGGTTCTGGCAGAACCCCGTCTTGGGAAAGATATCCAAGGGAAGGGGTTGGTGATCCGTGGCCGTGTTAGCGTTCAAAACCTAGCTTATTTTCAGATTTACCATAACAGCTTTAATTCTTGACTTGTTAATTACCTTTCATCTGCCAAAGTTTACTGTTTGCTTGAGACATTTACTTCAAAATCACATTACTTGAGAGTATTCCTCCCACCTTATGTTAAAGTGTTTGCAAATAGCTTTCAGAAAGCAAGGCACATACAGGCACAATAGCAGAGATTAGCATAATGTTTTTGTTTTAGCATAAAAAGCAGCATGTTTTTTTTTTGTTAGTGAGGTAAAAAAAACTAAATCTATTCAGATGTCTAAGATCAGAATCTCCGGTGATGCATCGGTCCTTATGCACTGAGAGCATTTTCTCAGAAAATATGTACAAAAAAATGAAGTGAAATTTCTCACATCGCATTTCGTTTTCAATGGAAAAAAAGAAAAGGAACACAGTTCAGCAAACAGCATAGAACCCAAGTTGTCATATCTGTGATTCGCATTTTAACAGATATGAAACATTAGATAAGCACATTATCGACTTTTGGAAACTAAAAAAAAAATTAGTTCTGATTGAAATTGTGTTTTGCTGCTTTTTCAGCTGTTAGTATTACAAATGCCATTGATCAAATTAGTTGGTTTCCTAATAGACGACGTAAACAGGTGGTTCATTTGATTTATTTCCTTCTGAGATGCAGAATTTAGTGCCTTTGTGCAAAGTCTACACCGGCAGTTCTCACTCCTGGTCGTGAAGAGCCAGTGTCCAGCATGGTTTCCTTGTTTCCGTATTACAACACACCTAAGTCATTGGTTGAACCACCTGTGCAGCAGCTCATCAGGCTCTGCAGAAGCCTGTTAATCACCTGCTGATTGAAATCAGGTGTGTTGAAGCGGGTTAAAACAAAGACGTGCTGGAATACCGGCTCTCCAGGACCCGGAGTGAGTACCACGGGTCTACACATTAGTAACTATCGTGGAGTACAGTGTTTGTGAAGAAAAAGGTGTACGTGCATATGAAAAGCTTGAGTGTTCCTGGAAATTGTGAGGAAGTCTTGTCAAACAAAAAACTAGAATGACTACAATCTCTTGCTCCTCCAGGGAAGCACTAAGCCGACGTCTTCATTCCCTAACGCTGGGTGCCGATTCGTCCTCATTCTGTATGTCTTCGCTTTGCAAAGCAGTGACGAATTCAACTGTGAGTGATTCAACTGTAAAAGATATCTTAAATTCTAAAATCTCAAATTAGCTGCAAAGCCTCGTCCTGTTAGTCGTCAGAACTGCCTCCTTTAATCTTCTGTCTCCGCTTTCTCCAGCTGTAGGTGGTACCGTGTAGATCCAAAGCTTTAATCCACAGCCACTGTGCTGATCGCTGATTTTGTTCATGGTATACTTTCTGATACACACACACACACACACACACACACACACACACACACACACACACACACACACACTCATTAAGAGAATCTAATGGATGTATTAACAAGGTTGAAAACAGGTGCTTTGGACCCATTTTCCTCAGATCCATGACCTAAATACTTTCTTTTACCTCCGTTTTAGGCTACCGTCATCCCTCCCTGCATATATCAGTTAGTTCAGGTAGCTTTTACTTTGCTTCATCTATTATGTAAGACGAATTAGATTCGCAGAGGAGGTGGGCACCATAGAAACTGCAGCCGAAACTAATGATCTCCTCTATAATAACCATTCACCGGAGATCACGTGCTTCCCTCTATTATGAGGGACCCAAATAGAAGCTTTCAAATTTTGTTTGAAATTGAAGTGACAATGGTCCTTTTTTTTTGTTTTGTATTGTTTTTCTCACTTTTCCTTTCTTTCCCCGGGGCTTGGTGGGAATGATGAACGTCTTGACAGCGTGCAGCTGAACGACAGGGATGCAGAGTCTCTCGCGCCGAGTAATACGTGCGAGAGAAAACAATTGTCACTGTGTAGAGCACACGCATCTGCTGTCTGATGAGCGGGTGTTTGTGTTTGGGTGTAATTAGCGTCGCACCTACCAGCTCATGAGCTGGTAGCATGATGGAGTGTTTGCTGCATTTACGCTGGCGTGCATTTAAATCCAATTTAATATTTTTTGCTTTGGCGTGTTCAGAGCCTGGCTGGGATCACTTCCTATTAAAAACTCCAGGTGTGGCAGAATTGTGATGCACATAAACAATCTTGAATGCAGTTTCATTCCGTTCTGCCATCATTCAGGAGTTGCGCCTCCTCTCTTGTCAATCAGTGTTTCTGGAGCAGCGATCAGCTGTTTCGGCTGGTTTAGGGAACATTAGACCTAAACAGAATGCCATAAATGCAACTCAGAGCTAAAGCAAGCTTTCAGGAAAGCCACCCCAGCAGGAAAAGACAATCAGCATTCTGACTGCGATCATAGGCGTCATTAAAGTTGCCAGGGAACTTTTTCTTATTTATTTATTTATTTATTTGCTTGAAAAGTCAGGAGAAGTCAGACAAAGGCTAGAAGTAACAACCTGGAAAATTCCCACCGCAAACAATAACGTACATAATAATCTCTTGTTGTCTCATCCTGCAGGCTTTAGAGGAGCTCTGGTTAGCCTCTGCACAAAGATCAGCAAAATACGGAGGAACCAGGAAACGGGGAAGAGATTTGGACCTAGTCGTTAGAACCGAAGGGTCATGCTTCAGTTAGATCCCGGACAAAGATTTTTATCAGCAATATTTACAGTTAAATGAACAGTTAATTAATATGATTGAATAATTGTTTTTTTTAGAAATGTACTGATTCCAACAGTAAAACAGAGACGTGGTGATGTCATAATGGTGATTAACGTGAACACGGCAGCGGGAGTCACATTTCTCATCACACGAGGTTTAAAAAAAACAAGTGTGGAAAGACTTTTCTTCATGCCTCATTCCACCGTCAGTATAACAGATGTTTGATGTTCTCTTTGTTCAGCACAAAGTAAGAGCTCAGAACAGCCAGTCTGTTCTGCTTATGTGCAGTTAGATGTGCTAACCTAAGTGTCTTGATGCCTTGTTCACAAGCGATGGAGTGAGAAACGCACTGATGGACTGGGGCTTCATTTGCCATAACGAGGGCATTGCTCTTGTCTGTTAGGAAGAAGCTGAGGCAAAAGACAAAGATCTCAACTCACTGGTTCTTCTACGTTTCAGCTCTGATTTGTGTTCACCATTTTGTGATCCTGATGGAAAAGAATAAGATCCCAGATACAAGAAGCTAGGGTGGCTGCACTCAGCCTTGGAGCTGAGGAGCTTTTGAACTGGGGGAGCTCAGAGCAGAGCTGTTGCTCCTCCTCGAAAAGAACATTCTGAGGTGCGTTGTGCATTATGCTAAAATTCGTGGTGGGATAAGACCAGGAGGCAGACCTAGTCTATTGCCCCCAGACTTTGGAACAGTCTGCCTTCAAATCTCTGTCTCTT